TCTTCTCCTCCTCCTCCTCCTCTTCCTCTTCCTCCTCCTTCTCCTTCTTCTCCTCCTCCTCCTCCTCCTTCTCCTTCTCCTTCTTCCTATTTTTCTCACAACAATAAGGCTGAGAAGTAGGTTGAGTTGAGAGAGAGCAAGGATGTCTGGCCAAAAAGTCTCCCAGCCAGCTTTCATGCTAAGACAGGACTAGAACTCCTGGTTTCTAGCCTGATGCCTGAACCACTAGACTAGATCAAACCAGCTTGTGTGTTTTTGTTTTTTTTCCTGAAAGAGAAGGGGCTAAAAATGACTTGCCCTTCCCTTGTTTTCCTGCTGTGTACAGTTGCCTAACCAGTGCCCTGTTTGTGCCCTTCTAGTGTTATCTAAGAACAACAAGCCCATTCACACAACCATCCTGAACCCTCATGTGCATGTCATCGGGGAAGATGCTGCCTGCATTGCCTACATCCGCCTGACACAGTACATCGATGGGCAGGGCCGTCCCCGTACTTGCCAGTCTGAAGAGACCCGGGTCTGGCACCGCCGGGATGGCAAGTGGCAGAATGTCCACTTCCACTGCTCGGGAGCTCCGGTGGCCCCACTCCAGTGAAGGTACGAAGACGGCAAGTGGATGGCTAAACTCCATTTCCTGGAACGATCAACCGAGGTGTTTGTGTTGGTCGGTATGGAGCACATGCTTGTGTTGGATTTGAGAGAGGATGGATCCATGCAAGACCTAATTGAGAGCAGTTGTTCTGCTTGTTTTGGCTTTTTCCTGGCGTCTGAAGCTCTGTTGTTTTGTTTTGTTTTTGATGGGTATGCAAATGTTCCATTCTAACTCCAAAATTAGTTCACCCATTCCAGAAGATCAGGCTGAATGTGGACGATCACTCTGACTTCGCTTCTGGTGGGCCTGCAGCTTTCCCCTGGTCCCCCGCTCCCCCAGTTTATTTAATCAACTTAAGAGTATGTGACTTTGGTTTTCAAGAATGTATATGTATGCAATCCCTCTGCTTAAATGAAGCTGTAAGAGTCATAAAATAAAGGAGTGTTGCGTCATGATTCGTTTTTGAAGCAGAGTTCTAAGCTCTGGCAAACTTCTAAAAAAGGACTAAGTGCTTGGAAGAAGGAGAAAAAGGAGTGGCAGTGGTGTCCTAACATAGCCAGACAGCAGGATCCCTGTTACAAGAGACTAAACCTGACTTTTAATCAGTTACAGGTAGTTCTTGAGTTACAACCACAGTTGTGGCCAGAATTCCCATTTATAAGCAAAATGATTTATCAAGAGAGCCATGCCTGATTTTTCAACCATTTTTACCATGATTGTTGTTGGGAGTATACCCCTAGTGTTGGGCAGGCAATATAGATTCATATACAGTAACAAACGGTCAATGTTGCTTTAAATGGGTGAATGTACTTATCAGCTGTCATTAACTTTGCAATAAGAGGGAGTCAGGAAAGCTCTCTCTCTATCTCTCTGCTTGTCCTATGCTTGATGACTACTTGCTCGCTTGATGACTGGAACGTGAACTGCGACTGTAAGCAATTGTTTGTTCTTTGAATTGTGTTTGGACAAATACCTACTATCACTGCTTGTGAAGCTATTAGTAGTAGTAAAGCTACTTGTTTTTACTGGCAGTGTCTGAGACTCTATTCGTGTGTTTCTTCTACTAGCAACGTTCCTTCTCTCTAGCTGTACATTCCGCTGCGCTACTTTCTGTCTCCCAACGGAGATACCCCTAAAGTAACATAACGTAACGTAACGTAAAGTAAAGTAAAGTAAAGTAAAGTAAAGTAAGTAGACCTTGGAGGTCTTTATTTATTTTCATTTTTTTTTTTAGTTTAGTATATTTTATTTTCATTTT